TCAGGGAGTTCAGCAAGATAAGAATTCTGTACTTAATGGAAGATAATCTATTATGGTTTGGATCTTAAATGTCCCCCAAAGACTTGTGTGTTGAAAGTTTGATCCCTAGGATGATGTTACCGTGGGGCCTGGTGGGAGGAAGTTAAGGTCGTCAGGGCTGTGCTTTTGAAGGGTACGGTGGGACCCAAGCCCCTTCCTCTCTCTCTTTTTGCTCCCCAGCCACCATGAGGTGAGAGCTTTGCTCCCCCGAGCATTCCTGCCATGGTGTCTGCCCCATCAGCCCCACAGCAATGGGGACAAATAACCATGGACTGAAACTTCTGCAACCAGGAGGCAAAATAAATCTTCCTGCTTTTCACTTGTTTATCTCAGGTATTTTGTCACAGTGACATAAGTCGACTAACAGTGTCAGAGCCAGGTTAGCAACAGAAAATAGGCAGCTGTGATAAAACTTTCACACCTTCCACCCAGGCACAAGGTCTCTCAATAAATTGCTGAACTCTCATCACAATAGCACAGATGATGGAAATGCCCATTCTTCCTGAGGCTTTTTCTGATGTCCTCGAGATGCTTGTGCGTCCTAGCCCCCGTCTAATGTCCACACAACAGCTCAGTGATCTTTTACGAATGTAAATCTGGCTCCTTCATTTCTCTGCTTAAAACCCTTGAAGGGCTTTACACTTTTCTCAGGGTAAAATGCAAACTCTAGGAGCCCTGCATGTCCTGCGCTGCCCCCAACCCCTCCACATCATCTCATGGCTGTCCACCACGCTCATGAAGCCTCAGTCACTTTGGTCTCCTGTTGGTCAAACATGCCAATGTCATTCCCATCCTGGACTTCTTCTGCACAAGCTAGTTTTCTCCAAATGTCATCACTGCTGTACCTTCAAAGACTTGCCAGATTAAAGGCAAGCTTTAAATGCAATGCAACACATGAGACAGAACCTTTGCTTTTGTGGGTAGGATGTGGGTTTATTTATCCCTTGGTTCTTTACCTGGTTGAAGCCTGGGATGATCTTTATAACTTTAACCCTCATGTTCAAGTTATAAAAAGTGGACTGGAGCCCAGAAATAGAATGCAACTTGACCAAAGCCACTCAGATTTGTGGGGGGCGGGGATGGGGGGGGTCAAAGTTTTCTAATGATAAATCCAGAGGTTGTGACTTGGACTCATCCAAGGAAATTGGCTCTCAATGCTGCCTGGACCAGCTCTATTTCACATACTTACATTTTTCCAATAGTGAAACTTCTCTTTCTTTTCTTTTTCCTTTCTTTCCTTCCTTCCTCCCTCCCCCCTGTCTTTATCTCTATTTCCCTCCCTCCCTCCCTCCCTCCCTCCCTCCCTTCCTTCCTTCCTTCCTTCCTTTCCTTCCTTCCTTCCTTCTTCCTTTCTTTGGCTTTGGGTTATTTTGCTGAGTCTAACGGGCATGGACAAGCCTGGGTTTCTGTTCCCATTATTATCTATTTTTTCTTTGTAANCTTTCTTTCCTTCCTTCCTCCCTCCCCCCTGTCTCCCTCCCTCCCTCCCTCCCTCCCTCCCTCCCTCCCTCCCTCCCTTCCTTCCTTCCTTCCTTCCTTCCTTCCTTCCTTCCTTCCTTCCTTTCTTTGGCTTTGGGTTATTTTGCTGAGTCTAACGGGCATGGACAAGCCTGGGTTTCTGTTCCCATTATTATCTATTTTTTCTTTGTAACAAAATATCCCTTTTGAGGCCAGAAGAGGGTGATTTGTAATTTATGAATTTCTCTTTTGAAATTACAATTAGAACCTAATTTTAAAAATCAAATTGGTTTCATCTAATTAAATTTGGAAATTGCCTCATAAACACATATTTGTCATGAATGTCTATAAACTCAAGGTCTCCTGATTACAGTCTGGGGAAGGATGGGCTTGAGCCCAGTGTGGGTGGAGCTCCCCATCTCTGTGCTCAGCGAGGACATACTCTTCCAATAGTTGCTAAGACTTTCTAACAAGTAGTGTTTTCTAGAAGAGCAGTCCTTGAACTTTAATGCCTACATGTAGCACCCATATAAATAGGGGATTCTGATTCAGGAGGTCTGGATGGGCCTGGAATGACCGTATCTAATATTCTCTTGGGTGCTGCTGCTGCTGCTGGGCCACGGACCACACTGGGTTGCAGCAGCAGCCACACCTGAATGAAAATGCATGAGTTTGTCATTCTGTCTTCTGCACTTCACCTCTCTGTTCCTAACTTCCTCATTTTTACAGGGTGATAAGAACTAACATTTATAATGTTATTTATGAATGTCAAGCACTGTACTAAACACATATGTCACATGAACCTTGCAACAACCCTCTAAAGAAAACTACTATTATCATGACTTTTGGGAACTTGAGGTTCAAGAACCTCAGCACTGCTCTACCATTAGTCACCCAGCAGGAAGTCATCCTAATGGGGATACAGGTTTAGGATGCCTGACTTCAAATTGTAACATTCTCACCTACTTGAGCCTCATTAGCTTGAAAGACATGTGACCACTGCCACGTTTATGCAGAAAATGTGACCAAGGGATAAATAACTCCACATCCTACCCGCCAAACTCCCAGCTTCTGTCACCGTGTCCTCCAGCCATTTTGGTGTATTCCCCCAAGGTTGCCTCACAGGCTCACAAAAAAAGCCCTCCAGCTGCAATCTTCTGGCTCTGGTTCTCTATCATTATGGCCTAGGAAGCAGCCAAAAAGCTACTTCAAGATCCTTTACCATAGCTATCTCCAGCAGAGACCATCATAGAAATGTCAATCTTCCTGGCATCAGGTCTGAAAATCCCAAGGTACTGAGTCCACACAGAAGTGAAAGATATGCTGTGCCAACCTGTCCTCATCTTTGAGCCTAGAGCTCCAGAGAGTGTACCACAAGTGATACCTCAAGTTAGGAGCTATTGCTCAAATCAGGTGTTTATCTCCAAGTTGCATGTGCCCCCCTCTTCTTCCTTCATCTATATCTTTCTTATTATCATGGGATGGCAATCATGATATTGCTAGTGCAGCCCAATGTGTAATCCTACTAGAAGAAAAATCATTTCACTCTCAAGGAAGAAGTCTGTGCAGAGAGATAACCCCACTAGCAATAGGACCCAGCTCAGTGGTTTCCGAGTGCACGTACCTAAAGGACCCAAACCTTTTCAAGACAAAATTGTCATCATTCCAAGACAAAATGAGAGAAAGTAAGGCAATTGTCACGAGTTATTCATAAAGTAAATTTAAGCAATTTGAAATTATGTCCTTTCTATATTTTTGAATGATTATCTTTTCTGTTATGAAATGTTAAAAGATGGTAAAGCACTTACGTTGGTCCCCCAAACCTTTGGAATCTTACCGGCCTACAAATTCCAAAAGGCTTGCATTTCTGGCATGGAGAAATTTTCATATAACATTACCATTKCTCCCTAAATCATGGTCCTTTCTCTCTGCCATACAAAGAACAGCTTGCGATGCACAATAGATTTCTATTGTGTGTGTGTGTGTCTAACTGTGGTCTCGACAAAGAATATCTTTGAAATTATTGGATTTTGGTTCATCAAATTCCCAGTCCCTCACTCACTCCCCTGAAGAGGTCTGGACCACATCCTTGGCAAAGTGTGTCAGTGGGACTCCCTCCCCTTCTCTTACAACAAACTCGGAAGGAAGTTTCTCCCTACAGCCAAAAAGGCTCAGAATGGTTGAGATGAATSTCCATTCCTCCCTCCCAAATGCTGGTCCTGAGAGCTGCACCCAGTTCCCTGCAATTTCTAAACTGCGGTTTTAGATGACTCTTCTAAGGAATGCTAGATTGAGTGAGACAGGTGTTTTCTTGAGAGCTTTGTAGATGGTGGGTMATCCCCCACTTCAGAGATCTCTGAGAACCATCTACTCCTCTAGAAAGCCTAGGAGTTCCTCAAACTAATGCTGAGTCTCTCTCCCTCATCATCCCTCCCTGACTTCCCTCCCCAGAACCCACTCCCAGAAGCCCTTCTCTAGAGGTGTGTGTGTTGGCAAGGGCACTTAGTGGCTTAAGGTCCCATGTGGACTTGCAGTACATGTTCCTGCCTGGGAATGCTTGTGCCTCTTCCCTCCCCAGGCTTGCTAGAGTCACACGGAAGTGACAGAAGTGATGAATATCATCCTCATTTTACAGGTGAGGCAACAGGCTTGGGGGCAGGAGAAGCCTGCCYGAGGCCACGTGAGGCTAGGGGACAACTCCTCGGAGACGAAGCTACCTCTTTCCAGCTGCAACACCCACGCCCTTCCATCAGCAGTGCCCTGTTTTTCTGTTTTATCCAGTGTTGCCTCAGGAGTGAGAGGAGAGTCAATCTTATCCACTTACCAATACTTGAATCTAAGCTTTGTGAGCATTTTTGTAGATCTTTTGTCTTGTCTTACAATGGACTTCTATGGAGGTTAACTGACAATTTTTCAGGAAGCCATATTATGCTGTCCCGGTGGGGACATTCCTGCCTGAGAAGGTTCGGTTCCAACTCTGATATGATAAGGTCTGGCTCATGCTTGGTGGGGAGCTCTGGATTTAAATGCTGGGCTAATAATCTAGTATGCCTTGAGTACAAAGAAACCCAAAGCCCAGAAATCCTGTAATCCTGGACAGAGAATAACACTGAGATCCTTTTCAAAGCCCAGGGACTGATATCTGTGGGGTGAGTACCATAGGAATATCATGGTCTTTCAAACAGACTTTAATTACCATTGGCCAGGACTGGGTCTTCTCTTCTAAATCAGGACAATCTGACTCCTTGAGCTCCCGAGTCCTCTGCAAGAGGGATTAAGGAGCTCAAGGAGTCAGATTAAGGTATGATATGTCCAGATTTCTTTGTCTTTGGGCAATCACTCAGCCCAGTTCTGGGCTCTGATGTTTTCTTTCCATTATATTATCAGAAAAGATGCGTCCTACTCACCTTTACATCTTCAATGGAATAGGTATTCACCCACTTCAACCTGAAGAGAATTGAATGCAGCTGAGCCCACAGAAGCAGCCCAAGAGGCCTCCTTACCTCATAGAGCGTGATGACCCCATTGGTCTCGTTGGGAGGTTTCCACTGGATGTAAATCTTCTCCTCAAAGGGCCCTCCTTGGATGGATTCAAGAGGAACAGCTCCTGGAACTACAGAAGAAGAGAGTTACAAACCTGATGTCACCTTCCTCAACACTTCTCCAGCCCCACGGATTTAGAACAGGGTTGGCAAAGTTTCTAGGAAGGACCAGGTAGTGATATTTTAGCATGATGCAGTCTATGTTGTAACTACTCAGTGCTGCCATCGAAGCATAAAAATGGCCATGGGCAATTCATAAACAAATGGGTGTGGTCATGTTCAATAAAACTTCATTTTCAAAAACAGGCAGTCGGCTGGGTTTGACTCATAGGCTTGAATTCGCAGACTTCTCTTTAGAAGGTTGGCAGTTTCTCATCTGCAGACTGAACAAGTCCATGAGTGGACTGAGGCTGATCAGAGCAGAGAGGACAACAGTAGGCCCCAGCCTTGCCAATGGGTAGAAATCCCCAATTAGGTCTTTGTTTTAGGGTTGATATGTGAGGAATGTAAAGTGGGCTTTGCCATTAGTTTACCAACTCTTTTCTTTTCCCTTTTTAAAAAATGTGTTCTAATGAGTTACACATGACAGTACAATGCATTTTGACACATCATATATAAATGGAGTATCACTTCTTAATTCTTCTGATTGTACACAATGTAGAATCACACCAGTTGTATAATCATTTATTCAATACAGTAATGATGCTCAATTCATTCTACTATCCTTCCTACCCCCATATCCCTACCCTCCTTTCCCTCCCCCTAGCCACTCACCTCCCTTATTGTGAATTAGCATCCACATATCAGAGAAAATATTCAGCTTTTGGTTTTTGGGGATTGGCTTATTTCACACAGCATGATATTCTCCAGATCCATCCACTTACCGGCAAATGCCATAAGAAGAACACAAACTATCACTATGTGCTGAGGACATAATTCTATATTTAGAAGATCCAAAAAAAATCTCACCAGAAAACTTCTAGAACTAATAATTGAATTCAGCAAAGTAGCAGGATATAAAATCAACACCCATAAATCAAACACATTCCTATACWTCAGCAATGAGTCCACTGAAAGAGAAATTAGAAAACTACCCCATTCACAATAGCCTCAAAACAACAACAACAACAACAACAACAAAACCTTGGGAATCAACTTAGCGAAAGAGGTGAAAGGCCTTTACAATGAAAACTAGAAAACACTAAAGAAAGAAATTAAAGAAGACCTGAGAAGTTTATCAACTCTTGTTTTCCCCACTCTGCCAAATTTTCCGCAGGTTTCCTTAGTTTCCAATTTCCTTAATTCAATAAAAACTATGTGCCTTGAAACTTCAGTCCACCTAGAAGAAGCTTGCTTTGCTCCAAGATGGCAGCAGCTTGTCTTGCTGCTGAGTCCCCAGCGCTGTCCTGGGCTGGATGCTAAATGCCCACTGGCCAGTTGGATGAAGAGGTGAGTGAATGACTTGAGCCAGCACTTTGCCCTAGGAAGGCACAGTCTTTCCTGGGGCTGCTCCTATTCAGGGCCAGTCTTCCTCAGCATCCTCCTGCTGGGATTCCAGCATCCTCACAATAGTGTGGAAGATGCTGAGCCAGAAACTAAAAGATTTCCCAAACTTTCAGTTCTAACCCACTGGAGAATCGTGAATTCATGTAAATCATTACTGGATCTATTTATATTTCAGCATTATAAACACAGGAGTTTTATTAAGTGCTTACTCTTTGATCAGAATTTTACATACATTATTTCACTTAAGCCACAAAATAGCTCTGTCCAGTATGGATTATCTCCTTTGTGCTGATAAGAGAGCCAGCCTCTGAGATGTGGATACYTTGCTCAAGGTCATATGGCTCTTAAGTTGTAAAGAGGGAACAGAACACCTGTCTATGAGCTTCAAGTCATATACCCTTAATCATCATGCTACGCCTCTCTAGATATAGCCTTGGCCATATGTTGYAATCAGTTCCCCATTGTTAAATTAAAATATGTTTAGTTTTCCTCATTATGGACATGATACACACAATTTGTTGAATATTAAGAATATACAAAAAGATTTTGAAAAAGATACAAGAAAAAATCACTCACACTACCCATTTTTGAAGATATTTTCCAGTTTTTCATAAATATAGTTTAAAACTTTATTTTTTAAAATATAAAATATGCTTATGCATATATGTATTTTATTTTTAAAAAATTTAACCCCTCTTGTGTGTATTGTGTTGTGACCCTCTTTTGTCATTATATAAATCATAATTTGAAAAAAACCTGAAGTGTTTTGGAAATTATATGGTTTAATATCTGCTTAGAAGAAAACATCCCCCCTTATAGTCCTAGTCACCAATCCTTTCTTATTGGGCATTAAATTTGGTTTAAATTCTTCATGATTCTGAGTGACACTGCAAAAAGCATTCTTATAAGATATATGCATGCAACTTTGCTGATGTTCTGAAGATAAATTCATAGAAATTAATTTCCTAGGCCAAAGTGGGCAAGCCATGTTATTTTTAAGGCTTTGACACGTATTACCAGATTGCCTTCCAGAAAGTCTGTACAAATCTGGGCTCTCCAACAGAAGAATATGCCTAGTTCTGATGTCTGCCAACACTATTTAAAAAATTAAGTGCATGTGTGTATCGTTTTTAGAATACTGGAGAGCACAGACTTTTTGKTTTTTTTTTTTCAATTTAATTAGCCATTTGCATCGATTCTTTTAGGAACATGCGCTCTACACCCTCTGCTCACTTGCTTATAGGCCTCTTTATTTTTGTTCATTTTTATCTTATGGGCTTATAACTATAATCTGCTTTTGAGGACATACTCTTTGGGCTTAGTTTACAAATATTTTTGCCAGGTTTTCATTTGTTTTAGAAATCTTTTAGGTATGTAGAAGTTTTTGCTTAGTCAGATCTCCTGTTGTTTCCTCTCTCCCCCGTTCCTCCCTATAAATATTTCTGGAGTATTTAATATGACCAAGGGATTAAGAGGGACATTAGGAATGTAGTCGAATCCTTAATAAAACCTTGTGCTCTGGGAAGGGAGACACATATTTAAAAAATAACACCCAAATTAATTCGTCAAAGTTGTTAACTCCGAGGTACAGTCATAAGTTATTAGGAGAATCAAGTAGAGAAAATTTAGTCTTGCATGTCAGGATATTGAGTGGCAAATACATTAATGTTGATAGATAAGTAGAAGTTACTAGGGCAAAAGTAGAGCATGTTGGAGTGTGGTGGACAGCTTTTTGAGGTCAAGAGTGGAAGGAGAAAAATCAGTTAGGAAATTGCTATTGTCATTCTGGGTGAAAGGATTGTTGCTTTGGACCAGTGAGAGGCAGTGTAGAAAAAAAAAATGGATTGCAGAGGAGATTGTTGTTATGCTAAACTAACATGACTGGATGGTGATGAATAAGGACAAAGAAGGGAAGAGACATGTCACGGTGGGGCCCAGCACTTTGTTTTATGCAACTGGGGAATCAGACTGTTGTTTATAGAAAGGGATTCTTATCTGGGTATAGTGGAGCATGCCAGCAAACCCAGCCATTTGGGAGGCTGAGGCAGGAGGATCGCGAGTTCAAAGTCAGCCTCAGCAACTTATCGAGACCCTGTCTCAAAATAAAATACAAAAAGAGCGGGGGATGTGGCTCCGTGGTGAAGTGGCCCTGGGTGTATGTAGAACATCCAAGAGGTGCGGCTGAATAGTGCTTGGGGCTACAAGACTGGAGCCCATGTTTGGGAACTGAAACCTTGCAGCTACAGTATAGAAAGAGTTGGAAAAAAGAAAAAAGACTAAATGAAGAGGAGCTCCATTCTCAACAATTAGGAAGAAAAAAAATGGAGAGACGGGAGAGAGTGTGCAGAGGAACCAGTGTGCTGGGAAACCAGATGTCAAGCTGTCACTGGAACACTGGAGGCAAGAGGTTCAGGAAGGGGCTGGTCAACAATGACAGATGCGGCTGAGCAGTCAAGTCAGATGTGCCCTTAAGTTTTCCCCTTGATTCAAGTGTTCTGTCCTCAAGGTTGTGACCTGAGCGTGAGTGATTTGGGGAGAATGCTGGTGTCGCAAGCCATCGTGGAGAGGGTTGAGAAAGCACCGGAAGGTGAAGTGAGAATGCAGAAACAGCAGCGATTAAATATGGAGCCCACACAGTGTCCCCTCCCAAAGACGGGCAAGGTTATGACATGACCAGGGTGACCAGGAAGAATCAAAAATAGAAGCAAGAGGAATGGTGGAGAAGGAAGAGGGTGCTCACTGACATGGCGAGGGTCCCGAAAGGCAGGAACAGGGAGGGGTGCATGGAAAGAAYGTCCCTTTCCCTCTGAGAGAGGTGAGAAAATGTGCAGATGCTTTGGAGGGAGAAGTTGAGGTCTCCCTAATGCGTCTCTTATGAAGTGGTGGTAAAGTTATCTACAAATAATGTAATGAGAGACAAGTTGCATCAAGCATTTGGGAAGAATCCAGATGTTTTAATCTTTGCAAAGCAGAAAGTGAGCTGAATAGGGAGCTGTAGATTCTGCCCATTCAGCTGAAGGTCCACCTGACGGAATGGAGGAGGGTCTGACTGTCTGATGGAGGTAGAAGAAGTTCTGTCTGATGGAGGTGGAGGAGAGTATGTCTCTGATGGARRTGRAGGAGAGTATRTCTCTGATGGARGTGGAGGAGAGTAYGTCTCTGATGGAAGTGGAGGAGAGTACGTCTCAGAGGGAGGTGGAGGAGAGTACCTCTCGGAGGGAGGTGGAGGAGGGTCTCTCTGATGGAGGTGGAGGAGGGTCTCTCTGATGGAGGTGGAGGAGGGTCTCTCTGATGGAGGTGGAGGAGCGTCTGTCTGGTGGATACTACAGTAAAACGCAAGCTAGGAGCACTAGGCAACCTAGTCTTTTCAGTTTAGAGCAGATTCTCTTTCTCATATCCAATAAGATAAACACAAAACCCCAATGAATAATTATTTTATGATTTCTTTTGTAATTTATTCCCATCTTTTTCTCTTCGCAGCTAACACTATCATCCATCTGGAATTTATTTAGCATATTGTACCCAGTAGAAATCTAACTATAATTCCTTACAATTTTCTTAGGAC